AAAGCTGAGACCTCCCTCCCACGCACTCCCCAAGCCGGCCTTGGGGGCTGGGGAATTCGGGGAGTTGAAGTCCACGCATCTTAAAGTTGCCAAGGTTGAGAAATGCTGCTGTAGAGCAACTGATGTCCTCTGATGGTCCAGCTATTGAGTAGTTTTTTAACAATTGATTTTTGAGCTTCCCAACTCCTTTAACAAGAATCACTGATCTAAAACCTGTTTAAAAAGCATGCGAATCTTTCCCCCAAAAGTTTGATAATAGGATTTGTTCCCCTTCCTTTTAAAAAAAAGACTTCAAAATTGTCTTTCAATAGCTGTTTCTCCAATAATGGGGATGGAGTTTCCAATATTTTCTGCCTAAGCAACCAATTCCATTGTTTTTCGTTCTGCATCTGGGAATCATCTATTTATAATACTGTATATTTGAAAAGAGAAATGATGTTCTTGGATTTTTTGGGCTAAATAAATGCAAAATTTTATTTATCCTGGGAGCAATGAGCTTTTTTTCCCCAAAGGCTGTTGAAGGAGTAATATCTTCTACTGGTGAGTTTGGTAGACCAGACAGTGCATTTAATATACATTTCCTTTTACGTCCAACATTAACCTACTGTCTGTTACTCCATTAAGTGTCCAGCAATTTTTATCTTATGAAAGAGCTCCAATTACCCACTCTAGACCTTAAGAATCTTTTATTTTGTCCTTCCATTTTTATACAGATGATTAAAAACCTTCACCTCTTGCTCCTCTCGATAAGAGTTACAATCATTGCTTACTTTGTTATTTGATCCATGCTGAATTACTCTGTGTTCTTAATATTGTATTTTATCATCCATGCACACTTGGAAGCCCTGGTCTTAGGGACATTCTTATGAAATGTGCAGAAAATGAAGCCATCAAATCCTTTTGCATATTCTCTCCAGGCGAAAAATGAAGCAAAACTCTTTGGAGAACTACTTATACAGTTCAAGAGATCTATTTGCCTTTTGAATCAAAAGATAAAGTATATGATTCATTGAGCAATATATCTAAATTAAACAGAATCCCTGGGCAATGCTGTTTTTGTTCCTCTTGCAATTTCACTTGCTGGAGCGGGATTACGGATTTGGAATTGGTCCGATGACTGAATTTTACCAGTTCTTTCAATTCGTGAAAGTTTCGCTCACAGTGTGGTTGCCCTGAGACAATCTTAGGAAAGAAATCTTAGCAAAACTTGCCGTTCTTCCAAGGAGGGAATCGGGGATCTTTTTTAATAAAAGGTATATTAAATCCTTGCAGCCGTTAAGATGTATAATGCTGATTCAGCATATTTTGGAGGTTATCACACAGTATTATAAAAATATCTTATTAAAGTTCGCTAAACTTTAGTAGGATGATGTTCATGATGATATTTTTATTTTGCCTTTTATATATTTTGGTCAACTCATGGTGAACATACCTCTTTTGCCTCCTATTTTCCCCACAACAACAACCCTGTGAGGTTGCAATGCGATTACAACTTTTAAAATCTGTTCCACTTTAGAAAGAGTCATTTTCCAATATGTCTGGGCTTTACAATCCAAGTAAGAAAGAAAAAATCCAATCTGCTGGTTACACTCCCAATATTTTTTAGGAAAAAAAAAGTATTTTTGGCAATCAAGACTGGGTATATAGCAGCAGTAAACCCAATTCTCTTTGAGTATTATATTCAGAGAATCTCTGATTCCCTCTTCGGAAGAACAGTTACCTAAATTGTGGAAATATTCCTTGATATCTAGAATGATGTCATTTAAAAAGCAAATCTGACGTAGAATTTAATTCTAATTAGAAGCAAAAACTAATCTGACAACTATGAATTGTAACTGATTCATTTTGTAATTTTTCTTAATATCAAGGGCCTGTCGTATAAGAGTCATAATAGTATCTTTCTATTACTACACCCATAATGGATGTTTTTTTAATTACTGTGAACTTTTGCTTTGAATACAGTTAAATGTATACGTTGATCGGGATTCAATATGCTTTGAAATCAGAGGTCTTCAAGTTTGGATAAATTCATTTTTGCTGCAGAATGGGTGAGGAATCCTGAAGGAGAGAGACTTTTGCAAGGGACCGTTATTGACCTATCTGCAAATGCCAGACTCGCAAATTAACGCTCTCCATTAAAAACTGAAGGATTTGGTAGGTTGGGTGGAAGTTGGAGCCTGGGAGCCGCATTTCTAAAGGCTGCCACATCCAAAAGGAGAAAGATTTAAGCGCAGAAAATCTTTGCTTTTAAGTTTGCAACGGAGCTCTCCGGTTGCCATGGGAACAAGCGTCGTCTCGGCCGCGCAGGGGAACCTTCCCGACATGCCGCGCGCCTTGACGTCCGCGGGTTCCGGGGTTGCTAGGGGGAACGGGCGCCATTTAACAACGGGACAAGGCGAGTCCTCCCAGGATGCAGAGCGCCGTTGACCTCCCTGACTCCAAGATGGCGGCGCCCAGCGGGGCTGAGGGAGCTGCTTGAGGGAGTCCGAGGTGAGCGGTTGGAGGGA